TAATGTTACATTTTTAATATTTGGCTTTCAAATTTTTACGAAATGGGGAGAGGGATATCATAGATGATTTATTCTTAAAATTTATAACAAGCTCGATCCCTAAAGCCTTAAATTCACTCAAATATTATATATGGGTGCCAGCTGCAGTTTACTGAAATGATGTGGGAAATTGTTATCACTAAATAAAGTTTTTTACCGGGTTTTAATGTTGATAAATTTTCTTAATTAGTTTATTTAAATTTTGGAGGTTTATTTTAAAATAGGCTCTATACAATTTAATATATTTGACTATATAAAATAGAATTTTTATAAAACATTAATACAACATGAAAGTTATTTTCTTATCAATATAATGGATTCTTTATCTAATTCTCTTATAAGGTGGAGTCCTGGTTGTCCTATGAGTTCCTGTAGTTCTAATTGGTTTAGTTCTGTAAGTTGTAGTTCTAATTGGTGTAGTTCGAGTTGTATAATCATCGTCAGTTGTGGTAAGAGGGTAAGTGGTTGTATCTCGTGTAGTTTTAGTTGTTCTGTAAGTTGGTGTAGTTCTAGTTGTCCTGTAAGTTGGTGTAGTTCTAGTTGTCCTGTAAGTTGGTGTAGTTCGAGTTGTATAATCATCGTCAGTTGTGGTAAGAGGGTAAGTGGTTGTATCTCGTGTAGTTTTAGTTGTTCTGTAAGTTGGTGTAGTTCTAGTTGTCCTGTAAGTTGGTGTAGTTCGAGTTGTATAATCATCGTCAGTTGTGGTAAGAGGGTAACTGGTTGTATCTCGTGTAGTTTTAGTTGTTCTGTAAGTTGGTGTAGTTCTAGTTGTCCTGTAAGTTGGTGTAGTTCTAGTTGTCCTGTAAGTTGGTGTAGTTTTAGTCGTCCTGTGAGTTGGTGTAGTTCTAGTCGTCCTGTTAGTTGGTGTAGTTCGAGTTGTGTCATCATAGTCAGTAGTGGTAAAAGGATAAGTAGTTGGGGTGGTTCTAGTTGTTCTAGTTTTGAAAGTTGGCGTAGTTCTAGTCAACTTAGTATTATAATAAGTTGGTGATGTATGGCCTACAGATGGTGGGAATAGTGAATAAAATACATATTATATAAGAATTTGTGTAATAAAAATCTGTAAAATAATTTAAGAAACTATTATTAAAATTTAAAAAATTTGAAAATTTAAAAGTTTACTACCTATGGAGGAATAAAACACTATAAGAATGAGGGAGATAAAAGTTAAGTGCTTCATGATTTTAAATTTTGGATTGAATGTTAAATAAATTTATGAAAAAAAACTTTCAAATAAACTATAATTTATAGGTTAATTTATTTGCGTTTCATATATGGTAATTAATTGTAAATGGTCATTTTTGTATCAAATGTGACTATATATGGTCATAGCTAGTGGCTTAATATTAGAGAAATAAACAATTAATGACTTTTAACATTCTGTTTAATTTCTATAAATTGATATACTTTTTAAATTCCTAAATTTATTTTAATTTATTTTTATATGGTTTAGGGCAAGTATTTTGTTTTTATATGAAAGAAAAACTCGAATAAAAAATAAAGGAAAAGAGGAATAAAAGTTTATTATACCTTGTTAAAATACAAAAACGATGCTTTTAGCTTTTCAATCTATAAAACAGAGTTTGAAGACAAATAATTTTCATATATTATATAATCGAAATATTATCAATATTGGCATTGTTATCAATATCCTCATTTGGTTTATATGTGTTTATGCATAGATAAGTGCAGGGGTGTGGTAGAAGTTTATAATCAATTATTAGGGAAACCCGGCCTGGCCCCCGGGCCGTATTTTAATTTTTAAATTTACCCGGACCGGGCCGGGCCTGAAATTTTTTTAAAAAAGATATCCGTACCGGGCCGGGCCGTATATTTTAAAACCAAATATTTGAAATCGCCATTTTTAGCTGTAAAAATCAAAAATAAATAAAATATATTTTAAAAAAATCCAGGCCGGGCCGTAGAAATGGTACCTATGCAGGTCTCTGATGAATATATCAATATTAATTACTAGTGGTTAATAATGGGTTTTAACCCTCGATTACATTCCTGGGGTTCATATGAATCAGAGTTTTAAATACTTATAATTCTGTAAATATGACGGTCTGAATTCTTTTACCCGCATAATAATAATAATTTTGGCAATATGCAAAGTGTATTATACTTTTGATGATTCTTTTGAGTTATCAATGATTTTTAATCATTTTTTATCAACCCAAAATAAATTTTTCTAATTTTAATATAAATAGGTATTTTATTTTGCATATTTTGCACCAAAAGATAGTTTTTATTTTATATTCAAAAAATTTTCTTATTGTAATTTTTTAATATTGAATTTTAAAAAAAAATTTTAGTGGATATATGATAAAATATTAGCTATTTAATAACCTTCTTAATTTAAAATGATTTTCAAAAAAAATTTTTGACCAACTCTATAACAACTTATTTATTATTACTGGATAAGAATTATCTAGATGAACTTTTTAAACTACATGTCATAGGATCATCAGGTGAGGTTCATAGGGTTAGACATTCTATCAGTAAGCTCTTATTCATGCTAAACAATACACTATAAGAGCAGGTTTTTAATTGAATTTATGTTTTAAAAAACATCTTTTACCAGGGTATTTTTGTTCTGTGTTTTTTGTTGAAGGTATTTTTGTCAGGTGTCTTCTTGTTGAGGGTATTTTTGTCTGATGTCTATTTGTTTTGGGTCTTTTTGCCGGGAGTTTTTTGTCCGAGTCTTTTTATCCAAGACATTTATGTCCTGAATTCATCATTTTTATTATAATTAGATATAATCAAAAAAAAATTGTATTTTTTAGTTTTAGGAACAAAAATAGGATCTATTAGACCCATGCTTAGTAACAAGATTATTTTTCCATTTCTTTTTTAATATTTTTAACAAAATTTTATTAAGGGCGATTCTGATTAATTTTCTATTAGTAAATCGAGATTTATGAATTTAACAAAGGGAGGATTATTTTAGTTAAAAAATAGAATATTTCCCCTATAAACACTGCCTAATGAAATAGGCAAAGAATGACCGTTATAGTCAAGATATAAATCATATTACACAAGGTCAGGGTTGCCAGACCACATTGATTAGTATACTACCACAATTTTTTTTAAATCGAAATCTTCCTTACTCAACTCCACTATCACTTTTTGAAAATCTCCCAAATAAATCACAAAACTCCCAATAAATCTCCAACATTATAAATTTTTTTCCAAAATCTTGTTTTCGATTTGTAAGAATATTTTAAGACTATTTGAATGATATCTATAACCTTTACGAATCACTGACATAAATGTGCTAGACAAAAAGGCCGGACAAAAATATCCACAAACAAGAAGTCATCGGACAAAAATTTAGATGCAGAAGAAATTTTTTAAAACCTCTTTTAAGCAATTAAAATATTTCTAAAATCGAGGTATTTTTGTATTATGTCTTTTTGTCCGTGAATATTTATGTCCATTATTTTTTTGCTAAGGGTATTCGGGTTTTTTTGCCCAGAAATATATTTCAGTGATTCTATATTTATCCATTAGCTTCAAATATGTTTAAAAAAATGATTATGATAATTGTCACTCTTCTTTGGTACATCTTCATGGAAATTTTAATTTGCCATGTTTACAGTTTATAATTTAACCCATTTGCTACAAAATAATTCAAAAAATAAAAAAAATTACGATCATGATCATTGATACTAATTTTATGGTATGTACATTTTCACTAAAATCTTATTTTAACATGTTTGTAATATATATTTTATTTTAGCCCATTTATTTCTAAAAAATTTTAAAATAACGAATAACAATTGTCACTTTACCATGGTCCATCTTCTCTTTGAAATCTTAATTTAATGTGTTAACAATTTATATTCACCAAATTGCCTAAAATATTTTTAAAAAGTTTAAAAATAACGAATATGAAAATTGCCATGCTCATCAGTCTCCCAAACACTATTTTAATTTTATTTAATTTAAACCCAATTCAAAATAAATAAAAATATATTCCATTTATAAACTTAATTAGAAATATAACATTTATAACATCATCGAATCCAAATTTAGTTGGAGGAAAACTGAGAGTATGCACATAAAATATAAATTAAGATATTTTCCTCTAAACCATAGGCTTAATAAGTCCATTTGCTTAATAAGATAAAAATAGATGAGTTCATTGTGGTTCGGTTAATTAGCCAAAATTCATTTATTCGAAATCTTCTAAATCATATTTGTGTGGTGATTGAACCGCCCTTTGGAATAATACAAACAAGGGAAATCAGATCTATCTTTAAGGTCAGACACGCTTACTATATGAAGTTGTATATGAAATATTTTAGAAACTCTATCATTTAAAAATCAAATATATATTCTAACATATTCTGATTATACTAGCAATTTTCAACCCAGATACTTAGTAATTCTATACGTTCCTATTATTCCAAATTTAACAATATTTTCTTATTTAGCCACTTCTTCCTTTATATTTATTATATCTACCAAACGGATAAAATTAAAATAAACTAAATATTAAGATTTCTAATAAATTTAAATATTATAGATCTTAGTGCTTCCAATAGACCCTAATTAAAATTAAACATAAACGAGATAAATTCCCACTCCCCTCTCCCATCCTTCCCCATGGAAAATTCATGGCTTGAGCTCATCCTTCAAATGAATAGGCAACTTTTTATAAAATTTATTTATTTTAACTTTTAATATTTAATAAATCTATCATAACAATTTTGTATATAATATAATAAAACTAAATTAAAAAAATTTGAAATGTTATAAATATAATAATCTAAAAAACAAAAAACAATTTTGTAACAGGACAAGAAAGATTTATGAAAATAGTCGCGTGGGTTAATTAATAACATTAAAATATTTTGTATAAAAAATTAATTTTTTAAATATAATTTCATTTTGATTATATATCAGATCGGTATATGATATTTATATAATTATATTTATTCTTAGGCTATTAAAGATTTTATTATGATATTTACATTTTATAGAAATCGTTAATCAAAAAAAACGAAATATTAATTTATTTTATAAACAAGATTATGGAATATGATTTTGAAAATAAATAAATTAAAACTATAAAAATAATGTCAATTATTATAACAAGACGATGAGCATTTTTTATGCTTGCCTTCCTCGCCTCTTTTAAAATGCTCCAATGCCAAGGCCGATATTTGCGGCGTCTTTATCATCAAATCTTCGTTGCTGCATAGCAATCTGTAGGATCACATGTTACAATATTAAGGAACATATATAATTTATTTATGACATTATAAATAATTTCATCACAAATTTTCTTTCTTTTATTTATGAGCTGTGCAAAGTATAAAATTTGCTTAAAACCAACCCTAATAATAAATAATTGGAGAGTAGGTGGATCTTTAACGTTAAGCGACTACTTGACACGGTATGTCTCATGAGTTATGCGGGTGTAATGGGTTATTCGAAATCCTGGCGTGAAGATGCGAGATTTCGAAACATATTGATTTTAGTGGAATCTGCAAAAAAAACCTATTATGAGACGCGTATTTTAGAGCCATAATATTTTTTACGAAAATTTTTTTTTGAAATTTTAATTAAGTTTTTTTTATAATGAGATTAAATAAATCTTATGGTTGAGTCATTTTAGAATATCGTCGCTTGAGAATTAGATTATTTTATCTCCACTTTGTGTAATTTTACAGGAGAGCAACTTCAAAATTATCTTTCCATATTTTCAATATGATGGCATAACCTTATATTGGCAATAATTTAATTGATATATTTCTGATTTCTTTATGTAAATAGAATAGTATAATTATAAAAAAATATTTTAAAAAAAGTCTTTTTTTTTACAAGAAGTAGATATCGAATACCTAATTCTCAGGTGATAATATTTAAAAAAATGATCAAACTCCTTTATAAATAAAAAGTTAATTAGAATATATGAAGTTTAGTTAATTAATTAAAAGTTTATTTTTTGGGAATTTACTCTTAATTTATTATCTGCCCAGTGAATAATTTAGCCATCATCTTCATTTAAAAAAAGATAAATCATTTGTTACATATCATTTTTGCACTAAAAAACGATTTGAATATTGTTGCAAAATATATTTATAAAATGTTATTTTAATAATATTTTTTCTATCTTTTCTTAAATATTTATATATAAGTTATAAAATTTAATTTTTTTAACAAGAATTTATATATTGGCCTCTTCTGGTATTAATATAAAGTAAAAATTGAAAATTATTTGGCCAATTCTTTCTTTCCTTCTCTAGTAGTCAATTAACTTTGAAAATAAAGGCAATTGGGTATAGGATTAATTATTATTCAAATATATTTGTTAATTGTGTTTTATGATTAATTGATGTATTTATATTAACTTGTAAAAGATTTTAATTCAATGTCGCAGTCTCAAATATAAAAATTCAGTATAAAGAAATGCGAGATAGAAGTGTATAAGTTTTACAATTGCCAAAATAGAGGACCAAAAATCGTTTTTATTAGCAAATATTGGATCAGAAGTTTATTCAAAATTATTTACTTTGTGTTTACCGAAGACATTCGCTGAAACATCATACGATGATATAATTAAACTTTTAAAAAATTATTACACGAAGAAAATTAATTTTATGTTAGAGAGATATTATTTTTTCAAAGAGGTGTCCCAGAAAAGGAGCAAGAAAGTTTTGAGGATTGGAATTCTCCGAGTCGTGGAAAAAATTTGAGGTAAAATTATTGATAGATAAATATATATTAATTTTTTAATTGACACAGGATCGCTGTTTCTATTTTGAATATAGCAGACGTTTACCGTTTAAAAATACTAGTAACAAGAACGTATATTATTTTAAAATAATAATTTAATGAACGATACTAGAGGTAAATATACAGTGTTGTGCAGATTTAAATTTCCATATTTTAAATAAAATTATTTAACTTATAAAAATTGATAAGAATATATAAATTAGAGATCTGCAAAAGTAGACCCGGCGGGCCCTAATATTTTTAATAAAATTGGGCCGGGTCGGATCGGGCCTTAAAAATTTCTTATATATTTAAATTTATCAATTTTATGTTGTTTTTATGTAAAATAAAAATATGTGATTTTATTTATAGAAAGTAGACGCCATATAACATATATCGTTTATTTTGTGTAATTATAAAAATTAATTTCTATATTTAAATAAATTCGGCCGGCAAAATTTTATAAAAAAAATTTCGGGCAGGGCCGGGCTTGAAAAATTAGGCCCGATGCAGATCACTAATATAAATATGCTACTTAAGTCAAATAATTTTATTTTAAAATAAATCAAAAAATATGGAAATGTTTTCCATCAACAGTGTATAACCCATTAATTATAAAAATAAAATTACATATCATGAATTTATAATTGTAAACAATGGTATGTAGAATTTAATAATAATAAATCAATATAATACAGTTAATGAGGTTTGGGGGGATAATATTGAACAAAGTTTCCATCATTATTTAAACAAATTAGATCTACTGAAGGATTTAAATGCATATTTATCGGTAAAACCCAACCCCAACTTTCAATATTTAAAAGCAAACCGATACCATATGCGTGGAAGACAAAATTAGAAGCTAAATTATAACGACTGGAATCCATGGGCTGAAATATTAGAATATCACTTCTCCGATCATGCTTGTACTAAAAAAGAGGATCGAATTTATGGTGACTTCCGACAGATAGTTAATGCAAATATTTTGATTTATCAATATACTATATACAGAATTATTGATTTATTAGCCACACTAGGTAGATTTATCAGAAGCGTATTTTCAACTAGCACTAGATGGGGAGATGAAAAAGCTGTTAGTGATCAACACGCTAAATGAATTGTATCGTTTCACACGACTTCCGTTTGGGGTAGCTTCAACGCCAAACCTTTTTCAACATGCAATGGATTTATTATTAAAAAAGGACTACTATTCGGACAATATAATAATTACTGGGGAATCAATTGAGATTCATAAAAAATATTTGATAAAGTATCTAAGATGTTAGAAATAAATGGTATGAAATTAAATCTAAAAAAAGATTCAATTCTTAGGTCATACCATTTGCAAAGGGGGGATCTCAACACCAAATAAGAAATGCGATTTTAGACGCACCATTACCTAAAAAAGTTACAGAATTACAAGCTTTTATCGGTATAATTAATTATTATCAAATATTTATGAACGATTTTTAGACTATTGTCGCTTCCTTATATGTGCTTTTAAGGGAAATGTGATTGGAAATGACAGTTAATGAAACAAAATTAATTAATAAATTTAAAAAATTAGTATCAGAAGCACCAATATTAACGCAAAGCCGATAATTCTAGCTGCTGATACGTCGCAACATGGAAGAGGATTAGTTCTATCTCATATCATTAACAACGAGGAAAAGTCGGTTGAATTTGATTTTCGAACATTAAATGCCGCCGAACGAAATTAAAGTCAGTCAGAGCGTGATGCTTTAGCAATCATATTTGGATTAATTAAATTTAAATAATATTTAATTGGTAATTATTTTACTATAATCACTGATCATAAACCACTATATCGTTATTTAACCCACATAAAAGAATAAAAGATATGTCGTCAAAATTAGTAAGATGGTCATTACTACTAGAAAATTATGATTATGAATTGCAACTTCGAGGAACTAAAAAAAAATAGCAATGCGGATATGTTTTCCTATTTCCCAATTGATGGTAGACCATGCTTGGGAAGAGTTAGATATTAATTTAATAGTAGATGTTCTACAATTTATTTCAACGTTAGATATAAAGTCACACACAAAAAATGACCTGGTACTATCAAAAGTTTCACCAAAAATAATAGTGGAAATTTAAAACCTTTTTTCCAGGGCCGAAATGAACTCACGATGGAGGTAGGATGTAAATTATGAGGATTAAGAACGATAATTACAAATATTATTACAAGAACATATTTTATCTTTTTTAGATATAGGGCCCCAGGGTTATACTAAAACAAAATTATTGGCCCAATAGAACGTTTGATGGCCTAAAATTAACGAAGACATCGAATTACACAGTAAGATTGTGAATTATGTCAAGCAAATAACCCTGGCTATAAATCGATCATAGGGAAATGGCTCTCCGCAAATAAACCATGGGGAAGAATTCATTTAAATTTTGCCGGACCAATTAACGGAGATATATATCTAGTAATAATAGATAGTTTTAGTAAATGGACTGAAATACAAAAACTTTCGACAAATAATTTTACTGAAGTAAGAAAAATATTTTTAAGACTTTTTGTTATTTCGGTTTTTACGGATAATGGGCTCACCATTTCAAAGTAAAGATTCAGTATATTTTGCAAACAATTAGCAATTATAGATGTATATAATGCCCCTACCACCCAAGAACCAACAGAGAAGAGGAGAGGTTAGTACAAACTTTTAGAGTTTTTTAAAAAAACATAATGATCATAAAATACAAGATTTTCTTTTTAAGTATCGAAATACTCCACAAATAACTACAAAACTATCACCAGGTTATGCTTAAATTTTAACCCGGACACTTACAATTATTAAAACCAATGTATCCTCATACATACATACCTTAGTTACTAGGTTCTTTTAATATAAATGAGAAAATATATGCAAACGATTTAAAAAAGATATATGCCAGATACATTTTTAAAAGAACAGGACCAATAATGTTTTTAGTTGAGACTAAATTAGGTTTATGTAGAACACATATTAATCATTTAAAACATAAGTTCGACGATTTCAATTTTAAAAATAGAGAGGAAGGAAGAGAAACATTGCAAACTATACAACGTATGGATGAAATTGATTCTATACAAAACTCGATAGTCAAAAACATTGATCCTATAAAAAAACTCGGTCAAAAACATTGATCCTATAAAAAAAACTCGATAACTAAAGACACCATCATAAATGATATGATTGACATTGATAATACGAATTAACCCGCAGTAGGAAACGAAAGTACAACTAGCCGTTATTTAAAACGGATAAGAAAACGATTTATACCGTTTCAAATCGAGATTCCAAAAAGGAGAGAATAGATTTAATAGAATCAATTAACTTTGAAAATAAAGGTAATTGGTATAGGATTAATTGTTATTCAAATATATTTGTTAATTGTGTATTATGATTAATTGATGTATTACTATTGATTTGTAAAAGATATATAAACTGATGAAATTAATTACAAAGATATAATAAAATTATTCATTGTTTTCATGATAGATCACTTTCTTTTATTCATTATTTCTTTATAAATTTTTTATAATTAAAAAAATCAAATGGGATTTGATATATCTCCCTTCAAGTCTTACTCAAACATTCAGGTTGAATTAAATGATAATTTAATTAAAATCCAGCGAAAAGAGAATTATTGCTTTATACTCGGAACTAGGGAATCATTAAAAAGACAAATAAAAGCAGGACATAATTTGGAAAAATTTGAGTTTAAAATTTAAAAAAAAATTACGGGCCTAAGAATATTTTTTTTTACAAAACCTACACTTATTTTAAAAATTTTTAAAATTAGTGAAACCTGCACCGTTGAGACAAATATTTTGATCCAACTTAGACAGGCATTTAATACATACTAATTAATAGGAATTTAATTGGGACTCAAAATTTTGGCCAAAGTAAGTTTTCCAAATTATAGAGAGCCTAAATTAGACAAGTTTAACTGTAAAGGAATATTTATCTACCCAGGTTTTCAATTTCTCTTATTTAAAAAATAAAAAACCAAAATTATTCAAAATAAGTTAAAGGAATTTTAAAAATTCCAGACATGGTCATAAAATGATTTTAAAAAAGTAAAAAAAATTGAGCTAGTCTTAAAATTATGAATTCTCAAGAGTGGAGACAAAAATAATTTTTTTCGAACCGGACTTGTTGCCGTTTTGATCTCTGCAGGGGTATCGAATTAATAAAATGAATCAATTATACAGTATATTCCAAGAAAACGCAATTTTTGCATTAAAACATTTCTTTTGTTGGAATTGTATAAAATCCATGACAATTTGTAGAACTTTTTAAAATTATTTTTCAAAACATGAATATCTTATTCAAACATGTTTGCTTACATTTGTAGATCAAATTTTTATTAAAAGTAACCACATATTTCCTTTCTAGAAGTTCTCATGCTAGTTAAATTAATATTTTTATACAGGGTGCTAGCTGTGAATTGGGTGATTATCAAAAGGTTCTATAGAACCGGTTCCTCGACCTTTGTAGTGTTTCAGTTGACAAAATTTTTAACGACTCAAGTGGGTTTGAGTTCTTTAGGTAATGATGGTTAATATTAGTTCATTGTTAGGTTCAGGTTAGATTTGGAATAACAGGGTTGAGATTGTCTTGTTTGTTTGGCTTAATAATAGTTTGTAATTTTATATCTAATGTATAATAATATTTAAACCAATTTTATATGTAAATTTTAAATTAGTTAGCCAAATCAAATCGGTTTAGCTAAAATAGAGGGCATGGGGACATTCTCCCCCTCTATAAATTTGCAAATTTTTGTAAACACCAAAGGTCAATAATAACACCCCCGTTCTTAACATTTAATTGTGAAAATTAAATGAAAATAATAATTATTATAAATGATTATTTTAAAAAATAAAATTAGAAAAAAATAGTGATAAGAATATTTTAAAAGATGTAACACTACCAAAGACCTATAATAAAACGGGCCCTCCAATCAAAAATATTAGAAAAAAACCATAAAATAATGTTAATTTTCATAGCAAAATTGAAGCTACGCCATTAATAAAAGCCAAATATCTGCAGACGGATTTGTAAGGCCCTAGTTATTTTTATTTTAAAAATAACTACCTAAAAAACCATTAAAAAAAAGGCAAATAATAATTAAAAACTACTTGAATTTTTCTTATTAATTAAAGATTTTTCAAAAATTATGAAGTTGATTTCGAATCCACACGTTAGTATTTCGGATAACTCATTATACCCGGAGTGCTTACGACATATTATTACTAAATCTTTCTTTCTTTCTTTTTTGAAAACCTTGAAAATAAAATTTGCATTAAGCAGGAGGAATTAGTTTTAAAAAACTCATATTAATTTATTATAATTTTTTTTAAAAACCTCGATATATCTCTAAAAGCTTGTTCAACGTTTAATCCGGTTTTCGAGCTTACATCGAAATGTAGGGCATCAATATCCTAAATCATCAAAGAAATTTGTTAAAATCAATTCTATTTAAAAAAAAACTTTTCATTATGTTTAATAGATTCAAAAAGCATAAGGGGTGGGATGGGTTAGTGAATGCCATATTAACAAATCAGGAAAATAAATGAATATTGTAAATTTGATGATTATAGAATATATATATTTTTTTTTACATTTGCTAGATTTTGACTCTGGTTAAGCAAATGTAATTCCTTTGAAGTGATGGTTAAATGAGATAAATCAATGAGATCCATTTTATTGGCTAATATCACGAACACCGGTTTATGTATGTTTTGCTTCTATATAAAACATAAATATTAAGGTGCAATAGGGTATATTTGTTTTAAACAATTTTTTTGAAATGTATTTATCTTAAAAGGGCTCTAATTATGTTTTAAATTGTAACTAGTATAACGTTTTAAAAAAAAAACATGAAAAAATTTTAATTACTGAGAAATTTTATTTTATATATTTTCTTAACTCCCATTTTCTGTGTATAAAAAAGATTTTCTATATTTTTATAACTCATGTAAGAAATCCTAAATATATCAGCCCAATATTTTAATAGGTTTACATGTTATATGTACCAGGTATTATATGGTACTTTATCCATTATGCATATCAAAATCATCAATAATTTATAATTGTTATTTCAATTACGAAATTTTATAAGATTTTATTTATTAGTAATCTTTAAAAATCATTACGCGAATTGAATTACAATATTAGGATTTATAAAAAATATACAAAATTATTTGGTACATATTTTTTGTATAAATTTTTTTATCCTATTATACATTGTCAAACGTTAATTTTAAAAAAAAATTAGTATCATTTTATACATGCTTATTTTTATAAAAAAATCCATAAATAGATACAATATTTTATATGAATTTTAAAGCAAAAAAAGTAAATAAAAAGGGAAGACCGGGGATAGTGTTATCTCGGAGCAAGGAATTTCTTTTCAAATAATTTTTAAACTAAAAAACTTTGATTTTGATTTTTAAAATTTAAATCATAAATATATTTTAGATGCTTCAATGGTTCTAAAAATGTGATAATTTTTAAATTCAAATTTCAAAATAATTTTTTTAATTTTTTACATTTTAATTAATTAATTTTTTTATTAATGTTACTCAGACTAAATATCAATGCTAAATGATAAAGTAATGCCATTTTTATCATGTATAATAATAATGACAATATTTATGAAAATTTAATATCTTGAAATAAATTTTAATTTTGATGGGGTGTGTATTAGCCATTTTTAAGTAGAGATTATTTTAAATAAAAAAAGCCTAACTAAATTAAGAACATTAAAAGCCACTAGTTTGTCTAGGGTCAAGAATGACAATATGAATATGATTAACTTATTTTTTGTAAATTATTTGACAGTTTTAAGGGACAATAATATATTTCATGTGATATATATATAATATGGATAAACCTGGTACATTTAACATATTTGACAATGTATTTTCATTTATTTACTAAAACTTTAATAAATTTTTACAATATAAATATAATATATAAAGATATGTAAAAAAAATTTTTTTGAATCAAAATATTTTCAATTCTGCTAAAAAACCATAAAATATTGGCCCAATTATTCAAAGATAACTCCTTTCCCCTATTCTTCAAATGTTTTTAAAATGATAAATAATATGTTCAGCATTTATGTTAGATTCATCGGAGTAAATAATAATTTCATTAATTATTTTAAAATATGTTTTTCTGTATCTTTTATGGCACATGGCCAACCTTAAATTTTCTCCTGAAACAAAATAAACGTTAGCTATTAAATTTTATTAGGCGAGCTTTCAGATATAACATTTAACAAAGCTCTCTTTCTATAATTTTCTTTTTGAACATTTACAAATTTTTTCTCTTTCAACAAATTTTATACAGTTAAGATTATTTAATTAATATTGAATCATAAGTTGGTGAATTTATACTACATTAATTTTTGAAAAATGTTTATATTTATAAGTAAACTTACTGAAAGAAGTTTAAATAATATTTCTATTTTTAAAAACGACTAACCCAATATGTCAAAAATTGTTATGGATGCCTCAAGATTTCGTTTATATATCCAAACCTTTCCGCCTTTTAAGCAAAACATCTCAACTCTGCATAATATTTTTGGCTAAAATATTGGGCTAGCCGTTTTTAAAAAATCGAACCATTTAACAACACTAAAAATTAGTTACCCAAATATCTTAAAAAATAAACATTTTTCATTGTTGAAAATAATGCATAACTACTATAAAATTATGAATAAATAGATACCATCAAAATAATTTTAAAAGCTTTAACTAAAATTTATGTTCTATTTTACAAATTAGCGTTATATGATGCTGAATATATTACAGTAAAACATGTCTAATTTGGGCTCTTGATAAACTAGCCCAACTCTCTAATTTGATCTAAAATTTAGAGACCCAATCAAATTCTATTAACTACAATTAGAAAGTAAAGAGTTTTGAGGAATTAGGGAACTGTCTAAGTTGGGCAAAATTTTTAACCCCAACGAAAGTAGACAGGTTTTTTAAAATTTTATATACAATTTTTAAATATTAACTAAACTATTGCATATATCTTTTCATGCATTTGCCGCATATCAAAATCAATATCATGCATTTATAAAAATATAATTGTAAATTACATTCAGTAAGTCGCATATTCTAGAAAGAAAATAAAATGAACATTCAATGTTCCATCGTTGGAAACTTAAAATAAAGTCCCGAATACCCGAACAGGCCATATAAAGTAATAAAATTAATTTTTCCAAAAAATAATTATAAATATTTGTTTGTCTTTTATCATGTATCCTATAAAAATTCCCTTCACCTTACCATAATCATGCTTTCAAGATCATCATACGGGCGGTACAGTAATGTGCAACAATTTGGTTCAAGCGAAATGCATTTTAAATGTTTCTTAATCATGTTTTTTTTAAACATAAAGAAAAAAATATATATTTTGCAAAAATAAAACATTATATATAATACTAAATACCGAGCTGCCAAGAGTTGCTATTCTTTGGTGGAAATAAATTTAAAATGTAAACTATCTGGTATATTATAAAGGAGATTATTTCTTAATTAACATCTACGAAGATGGTAATGCTGAGAGTATAAAATAATAATATATTTTCCAAGAAAAATCCGAGTTATTAGATTAGCATAATAAATATATATATTATAGTAAAATACTCTTATTTCATTTATCCATCCTTTAAGGTTAGCCAGGGACTTTTGTTGATTAATATCATACATTAGTAATATAGCGTCGGCCTTTCTATAATAATGTCTGGTAAGTGTTTTAAACCTTATATCACAAAATATGATGTAAAAAACAAAAGGTTAATAATTGGAATTAATATTATTATCAGAGGCTCTCGAAGGTATCTAAATATTTGAAAGCCCGGCCAGAATTTTATTTTGCCACCCAATTACTATTCCGAGCCGAATTTTTAATATTTTAATTATTTTAAGCCGGGCTCGGGTTTACGTATTATAATATTACTTAAGCCTCGATATTTACATTATCTTTGTTAGTTTTTCTTTATTTTGTACCTCTCTTGACCAGCTGTATCCCAAATTTGCAAGGCTATTGATTGACCATCCATATCTAAAGATTTAACTTGAAAGTCCATCCCTAAATCAATATGAGAAATTCGTATATTAAATAAGTAATATAATAAATAAAAATTAATAGCTTTCCTTCAACTTAAATTGCAGAGTATATCTAGATTATAAAAATATTTGGATATTTTATTCTATAAAATAAAGTTTTTTTGTAAAATAGTGTCACTTCTGCCTGTGTCTTACCCACCTCCCTCCCTCACTTCTGGTAAAAGACAGTGAGTGCAAAAGTTATACCTTACTTTGATGATTATTAACAATGAAACCTACAATTAGAAAAATTGTTTGATTTATATATTTCTATATTAATTATCTATAATTTTTATTGGGACTGAAATTTAAACTGAAAATGGCCCTTCATGATCATGCCCATAAAAAACAAATCTATATAATAATTATTTTTTCAATAAAAATCTAATTCTATATAATCCTTTTGATTTGATTGGTAAGATTATTATTTTATTGTTAATTATATATTTTTTTAAATATAAAATGTGATCATTTGAAAAGGAAAAATTCATTCTTGGCAATAAATTAATTTACCTAAAGTTGGGAGGAAATTGTCACAAAATTGTTTGTGACATGCCATGTGGATAAAAGTACTTTTCCCGACTCCCATATCACCGATTATTATGACCTTAAACACTCTTTTTGGGTCCCTCAAAGCAGTTTTTCGCACTAAAAGTTTAGTGCCATAATCCTTTTGAGAGTTGGAACTCTAAAATATAGATAAATATGGTTATAAATTATTTTATACAAGGATTGAGTATGTGGTAGAAAGGAGAGTAATTTTTCCCCACTTAATATCTGAAAAAATCTTAAGGAATTCCAAGATTTATTAAAGGAAAAACATTTAAGAAGTTGATTTAATCATTACAAATTTGTTATATTCAAAATAAATTTCCTATGAAATGTCTTTTTCATATTTGAAGAGATTCCATCACTAATATATTGTATGTTTTTTAATTTGTACGATATAATTTTCTAATGGTTGCAGCATTCCCTATTAATAGTCAATTAGCCAATGTTATTAATAGAGGGCTTCAAATAACTTTTCAAGTAAATAGTTTAGATATTATCATAATCACCGAAGATTTAGAGGTACTATTCTTTGTAAAAAGAAATTCGTCAGAACTATCTTCTTTCTTGAGGGTGGAACCGCAATAGGAATCGCTAGTGCTGCTGAGTCCGACAGGGCTACATCTTAGATAGGGGTGATTAATCACGTGATTCGGTAATTTGAGAGGATCCATTAGTTCCGAAATCCTGGAATATGAACGAGCATGATTCTTATTTTCGATTCTTTTTAACAAAAAAGTATATATTAAACTCTACCTTTATTAAAAAATAATAAGGTAATCAATAAAATATATATTATATATTTATATTACGGGTTTTCATCAAGATAAGAGAAATTCGGTATATTAAGCAATTAAATTTAATGTTAGTCTTATTATGCTTTCTAGTTAAATTTTGTAACAAGGCACAATTTAAACCAAAATCATCATTTGGCAAATAAAGCCTTTTTTAGATTAGAATTTTATAGGTTAATTGCGGCAAGAATATCTAAAATAAGATATAGTTTACCACTAGAGATCTTGGCTCTAGTTAGACCACTTTCACACTTTATATGTTAAGGGTTGGTAAACGTCTAAGATAGGCGAATCGGCGTAGCAGAAACTAGAGTTTTTCAATTGAAAAATTGAGTCAGACTTAGGAACACTCTAAGAGTCGCCTGAGAATCAGACGAGTAGCTCTCTGCGACTCAAGAACCAGATTCCTGAGCCGACTCGTAAGACAGGCTCGTGAGTTCGAGTTATGAATTAGCTCGTTTGACTTTAAGGGGTATAGTGAAGGGAATACGCCCAGGGGCACGTGATGCCCTTTAAAATGGGAGGGAGAATTAGCGTGTCCTTTGAATACAATGTTATTTTAACATATTAATTAACATTAAATTGTAATATTACTATGATATAAAAATTCAAATGTAAATATTTTATAAAAAGGAATGTAAAAATACGAATGAATTCATAAATTTATAGCGAAAAATGGCCATTGCTTAAAAATTAGGGCCAGATCTTAATATGTTATGGTTTATGTGGCAAAAAAAATATAAGGGTTACAGTTCAGTAACAAGGTTCAAACGTTTTTCAAAATGATACAAAGATTATATAGTTTTAAGTTTTCCCCGAAATTTAGAAAAAATATTAGAGTTTAAAATATGTAATTTATTTAAAACATATAACTCTTAGTAATAAAAATAAAGTTTATAAATTTTAAGAAATTTGTCTCTTACAATTAAAATATTTAAAGGAAAAAGGTTTTTAAGTTTAAATTACAAAAGTTTTGATTCGCTCCTTTTAGAAATTTGGCTTAAAAAGTCCTTCTACAATAAATTACAAAGGTTCTTTCAATTCTGCTTTTGTTAAATTCAAAGATCAAATCTCTGGAAATCACTTTTAAAAAAATTGCCTATTTTTGACCATTGGCCATTTTTTAGAGAAATAGCAAGCCTTTTCTGCCAATTTTAGGGCTACATCACTGGCTTCTTCATATGTGTATATTTAATTAATCTATAAATTATTTACCATTCAATTTGGCTCGACTCAAACTCATTCCATTCAGCAAAATCTAACTTGACGGTCTGATTCTCCCAGCAAATTGCAAATTTAAGAAAATATATTAAATACCCGTATAAAGAACTTTACTAAAAGGGACAATTTACATAAAAAATATGTTTAGAATGTATTTAGTTTATCTCTTTAGTAGTTCCAAAATAAACCTGGAATTTTATATTTCAAAAAGAAATCCATTTTTACAAATACCGCCCTTTGATGAATTGTGATACAATATGTTTTCTAATATTATAATGTGGTCAAATCTAGTCGCTATGTTATTTTAAACCTGGCTTTGAAGAATTTTTCCAATATTTCGAAATTTTCCATATCTCCACTCGTGATTTCGGATTTCGAAATGTCCGAGCCTGAAACAACTCGCCTTAAAGTCCTCGAACGCTTCAACAATCTAAGCGATGTAATAGTTATACAATAATAAATGGGGGGGGGGGGGAATAGTTTGTTATGAGCCGAAGAATAATTAGTATATAATATAAATTCATACGAACCTCTAATTAAGTTAACGAGAATTCGCGGGAAATTATACAAAATGCGCTGTATTTTTGTTTTCCCCGCGAATTTGAGCTAACTGCTAATGAGATGTTACCCTGCATCCACAGTTATCACGAATTCGAGGTGAAGTATATAAAATATGCTGTATTTTTGAATATTTTATATACTCCGCCGCGAATTTGCGCTAACTCTGAATGCATGAAATATTAATATATTCAGAAATATACAATTTAGTTTATATTTCATACTTAAATCCGTAAGCATTGTAAAAAAAAAATTACGTATAAAAAATAAGAAACTTATTTAGATAAATTTATATGAAAGAGAGATTTGTTATTATTAATGTAAGTTCCAGGGCCATATCCAGGAATTTTCAGTTAGGGGAGCCAGCTGCTTACTTAGGGGGGCCACTATTTTTTTTAAATAAAACAAATAATTAAGCATTCATAGAAATTTTTTGCTATTTTTATTAAAAAATTATTAATGTTATATGAATACACAATACTATAATATGAACAAACAAAATAATACTATTACGACGATTTTTATCTTTAAATTTTAACATAAATGAATTAAAGGATAAATTTTGGGTTAATTTTTTTCATAAGCCATCAATACTAAATTTTGCTTACTTTGATCTTTCATTGACCCTCTAGTGCTCGATAACTTTCTTTATTATAGAGAAAGAAACCACACAAGAAACCATTAGTACCCCAATGATGATGGCTGCTGAGTAGCATTTGTACAATTCTCTAAATGCATGATGATATTTTTTTATACATAATATTTAGGATATTTTCAAAATTATGTATTTCTTTAACTTCTGCAGCTAATAATCCTTTAACTATTTTCATTTCATGATGTAAAGTTTCCATATTTAAGTTTAATAATTATTCTAATCGGGCCATTTTGTCCGATATAAAATAATCACTATCAAAGGGGGACAATGCATTAAAACTTGATAGAAGATTATAATCATCTTGTGTAAATCTATCTAAAAAATTATCAACAGAGTAATCAATAATTTCATAATAACTCCATTTTAAAGAACTCCAATTGGAGTCTTTTTCTCAAATCAAATTGTTATTTGGTTTCGACTAAAAAATCTTGGAAATTTATAGGCGTTTTACGTACGCTTGATGATTTGTGGGGAGTGAGATTAAATTTTGCTAAAAGTTTTTCATCCTTTATTCTAATCAAATCAATAGAATTATTGCTTCTTATATTTTTTAAATATATTTGTTACATTTGAATATTTATTATTGTAAGATATATTTTAAAAGGTCACGTTATATATTTTAAAAGGACGTTATTTGTATATTATATTATAACTTTCCGACATGTAATATTATATTATCGAGGTTAATCAAATTGCATATTATTAGAAGTTAAATTGGATAATTATATAATGTATACATATACAAAAGAATTACAAATAAAATTCATTATCGTTTTTTAAACTTTAATCGATTTAATATTTGGCGACGAGGTATAAGGTCGCGCGGTTTTCGGTCTTCGGACAAGTTAAATGTTGTATAGAATTATAATTTTTTTATCCTGTTATAAAAAAAATAAATAAAATAATAATAGATTTGTTTAGAAATTATGGATAAAAGATGAATGAGATAAATGGGCTATTGACGACTATAGACACATAAAAATCCTCAAAATTTTCTATTGACGACTTAGAGGAGGAATTGATTTCATTCGATTAAGTCGTGGCCCTACTGAATTCATAATAAAGAACTAAGAATTCGCGATCAATTAATCACCGGAGAACTATGTTTACTACCCAGATACTAAAGACGAAGACCAATCGTTAAAACTTAAACAAAATTATAGAATTTATAATAATGATAAAGGACACTATCAAAATGATTGATGCAGCCTATTTAGATTTCCATGGATTATAGAATTTATGATAATGATAAAGGGCATTATCAAAATGATTGATGCAGCCTATTTAGATTCCATGGATTATAGAATTTATATGATAAAGGGCACAATCAAAATGATTGATGCAGCCTATTTAGATTTCCATATGATCACTATCAAAATGATTGATGCAGCCTATTTAGATTTCCATATGATAAAGGGCACTTTCAAAATGATTGATACAGCCTATTTGGATTTCTTATAGAGTAACCTGGAGTACTCCACATAAAACTTCAGGTGAACTACGATTGAGAATAATTCTACCAACGAATCGCAAAAATCGCTATAGATCTACAGATAAATGATGATAAAATAACAAGCGAAAATAAAACAGTGATGGTGGAAACAATTGGTCGAAAAACTAGAATCGCCATCACCCTGGAAAAGGGAAGAAAAAAATAAACGTACAAAACCGTATTAAAACATCCCGACCAACTACGAATAAGGGAAGAACCAGACGTAAGCAAATCAATAATAACAATTGAACCAAAAAGGAAGGCAAACGGGTTATTCAACAAGGGAACTAAAGCCAACAAAAAGATTAATAGATGAACTTGAACTTGGTAAATAAAAAGATTGGTAGACGATCTTAACTTGGTGGGAAAGAAGATATGTTACATTTGAATATTTATTATTGTAAGATATATTTTAAAAGGACGTTATTTGTATATTATATTATAACTTTAAGACATGTAATATTATATTATCGTGGTTAATCAAATTGCATATTATTAGAAGTAAATTGGATAATTATATAAATGTATATATACAAAAGAATTACAAATAATATTCATTATCGTTTTTTTAAACTATAATCAATTTAATAATATTGATCGTGGAATCAATACAATTTTTAGCATCCACTTGATAAGTACTGACTGTAAATTTATATAGTGGATCTATTATTATTAATATCTCATAAATTATAATGGCTAATATAACGTAATTTATATTAACGTATTGAGATAAAAGACCAGAGGCTTCGACAGATTAATGAGTGGAAACCTCTGAATTAAGAGTTCCATTAGAAAAGTAAACTAATACTTCACCAATAGCCTCAAAATTAACATAAATGATGTGAGGTGTTTCTAAATGATCAGTCCACCTCGGGACTAAAAGTCTCTTAAGATAATGGCCTGCATATTTACAGGATAAGTTAAACCGCCTAAAAAATTATGCAATGCATTGAATAAATTAAAAAAATTAGAAATGATAACAATATAATTATACCAATTTTGAGCCACAAGATGCAACATGTGGTTGTAGCAATGTATAAAAGAAACTTTTATTAATTTTTTTTGAAGTAGGGTTTGCAATCCGCTCGGCCAGACATAACGTTTACCATCATATGCCTGGTTTATTATATTCGTTGAATTAATATTTAACTCATTAAGTTGCTTTAAAATGCAATTAATAATGCTTTCAGCAGAAAAACACTGTAAATATAAATAATTATCAGTTTTCACAACCTGATGTTGTCACATCAGCCTTAAGACAAAAAAGGGCATCTCACTTTTGCCATATTTATCTGAAATATAATCAAGCACCATATCTACCATAATAGATATTACTTCGTTTTGAATCTGGGTGATGTATATAGCGTATTTTTGTATTTAAATTTCGTAATTTTATTTAATTCTGGATCTTTTTGAATGGTGTAGGAAAACCTTGCTATAAATAGTCCAGAAAGAATAAATTATGTTTCCTACATTTGCAGCACCTGTAAATTTTTTTGAACCAGTCTCACGGAAAGTTAGCTCCTGTATGTTAAGAAATATCATGAAATCTTGATTTAAGATCGTAAAGATTACGGTTAATTTATTGGTTTACCAAAATTGTTGTTATCTCACTATTTTCTTTATAATGCTAAAATACTCACCGCTGTTTTAAATAACTTATCGGGCTTAGATAATATTATTTTGTCTAAGATCTTAATAGGATCATCTTTAAAAATCGGCCCTAATCGAGCTGTTTAGCAACACTGCACAATAATTACCAAATTTTATAAAAATTTAATAAGAACCTTTTTTATTTTAATAAATATTTACGAATCGGTATCAATCTGTTTCCTTAGATTTGATATATATATATATATATTTATTTTAAGCCTCGAGTAACCACTTGAATAGCTGAAAATCCCGGTTTTTTATGATTTGCACCCAGATCTATATCAGAGACCTTCAAAAGATAATAATATTTTGATTGAACCATAATAAATAAAATAATTATCATTAAAATAAATACAATTTAAATGATAATTAAGCGATTATATAATGTTATACACAAACACACATGAAAATGATAAAATATGAATGAATGATGAATTATTATTGGATAAAAATAAAACAGGATAGGAAGAAATTTACAAATAAGACATGTTTTTTGAATAAATATTTAAAATTTATTTTAAAAATATAAAAATAATCAATTACAAAAAAATTTTTTAAATTTGGGGGGCCGGAAAAATTTATAGGGGCTATTTTTGGGGGCCAAAGATTTTTTCTGGGAGCCAGGTTTGGGGGCCAAAAAAAATTTGGGGGGGAGTTGCCCCTTTCTTCGCCTCCACCCCTCTCCCCGTGGCTACGGCTCTGGTAAGTTTTGTAGGACAATCGATTCGATTGTTGAGAACTCCACATCAATACGTAAAATTGATCTAATTCAACCAATTAATAACTCAATAATCTACAAAAAAATGATTTTTTAAATGGCTTACGGATAGTTAGAGTTTATTGTTGAATCCAGTGTAATGATTTGACTATACGTTCGCTTCAATGAGGACGTTGGACGCTTGAGACTTTGAAGATGGTTAAAAACTTGACACTTGTATAGATCTAACATAAAAATGGGCTGAGTTTTAAAGCGATATTTTTTGTTCGACGTGGACTTTGGGGTAATAATTGCCTCCTTGAGATCGGCCAATATATCGTCGCGACTCTTGAATTGATGTTGGTAATAACTTTTAACGCGCTTTTCATCATTGATTATATCATTTTTCTTACTCTGTTCACTTTTATAGAGATGATCGTTATTCGAAGAAGCTGGGAGAGAAGGAGTGTTTGAGTGCTTTCCAATAAGATTATAATATGAATCATAAATAAAGGAATCTAAGAGACGATTTTGTAAGTTGGGCGAGAGATTATGTGGAAGCCTGGGTGAGTACAGAGTTGGATAGGAGACTGTGGAAATAAAGGCGGCATCGTTGTTGGTGAGGTACCCACGTCGTTGGCTCTGAGAAGCAATAATGTCCCATGCGCTGCGAACTATGCCCACCTCACTACCCGGATTCAGTAAGGCTAAAGAACTAGGGTTAAGTATGCCTGAGTTAGGATTGCTTTTAAAATAGCGGGCGGTGGCAAAAATGTCTGAAATGGATCTTATTTCTGATCCCGAATCTTTGCGGTAGCCGGATTTTGGAGGATCTCTAAGGTATGAGTTGTTGGTATGTTCATTTATAGGACAACCCGTCGTAAAACGATACAAGTTATGAGTTGATTGCTGTTGTGGATTTGAGGATAAAGGTTTTTGGTCTTTTATTTTGTTGTTATGATAGCACCTGGAAGGCAATAAATCCTGACTGAATAATGTGGGAATGGTGGGTGATAATCTAGTAGCCGGTTTTAGCGTTTGCTTGCTGTAATCTAAGTTTTGATTTACGGAATAATGGAATTGAAGAGGCACAATATCGGTGTTTGATTCGTTCAAGATATTACGACTATCGGTAAATGGAAGCTCGCTTTACGAAATATATTTAAATATGTATAGTTCATAATATTTTATATGGTAATTATAGTTAATATGTTTCTGTAATCATTTATAGCTTTTCTTCTAGCCACATTGTGTCTTCTTAATACGAATAGGGTCATTTACATTGTATTACTCATCGAAAGAAAGATGACAATGAATTTGAAAAACAGCCCTATATGAGTTTAAAATAAACTACAATTGTGAGAAGAAAAGTTTGGAAATTAGGTTTATGCAATATTCTGCTAATTTACCTCTTGCTGTCATTTCCGAAATAATCTGCCATTATTGAGCCATGTTTTTTCAAAGGAAATTTTTGATTTGTTGTCGCAGAAGAAGACCTGTAACTTAACTGTAAATTTTTTAGAAATGTAATATTTTATAATATTACATTTTGTTATTTAGTTTATTTGGTATTTTTTAAACACATGTAATTTTTTTTAGATCAAATGAAAAAAGACATGTGTTATAAAAAAAGATAACCCCCTATCGGGCTAAAAAGTTAATACAATATATTTGAAAAGAATCTAGTTATTATAAGGTAATATATTTATTCTATATATGGAAAATAATAAAAATATAAATTGACTGACATCTCGCGCTTCCATTTCATCCTTATCATCCATCAGCTTCCTATTGTATTCCCTGTAATTTACAATATTTTTTAATGGTTATTTGATCAATATAATATATTATTTACTAATATGAGCATATAAGTCGCGGGGTATACTGGAATTTTTAACATTTAAGTTTATTTACACCCCATTTTTTTTAAAAAAAACTTGATTTTGTCAGGAAAGTTTGAATCAATTATAAATTAAAATCAATTTCTTATCGATTTTAACACAAGATGGATTATAATTTCAGCTCTTAAATCAAGTCTTTAAAAAATTGAAGAATGTGCGCTATAAGTGATTTAAACTTGAAAAATTCCAGCAAACCTTGAATTCCAAATAGTACCTAAGAAACCTTAATAAAAAAAGGTCATCATGGGGGGGGGGGGATATGCAGGTGAGGAGTTTATTGGTGTATTTTCATAGTGTTTAGATGGATAAGGGGGTCAATGAAAAAAAGGATCATTTTCATTTTTGGAAGAATTTTAGAATTTTTATAAAAGAAAATCCTATTGTAAAATTAGTAACAAGAAATTTATATTAAAAATAATAATAAGGGGAAATTGGGGGGGGGGGGGTATAGTTAAGTATAATATTGGTAGGAAATTTATCATCTTTTGTGAGGCTAGAGTTCCTTGCCCAAAAATAATAAAGCCCGAACAATTTTACCACGAGTTGTGTGGGTATATATTTTGAATACATATGCAATTCAACTTTTTCACCCGTCTTATTGTAACATAACAGTTATAACGTAAACACTCAATTGATGGGCCATAAGGAGCTGGTATGATGCTATCGCCATTATAATAAAAGGGTATGGGGTATAGTGTGCAAATTTTGATTTGAATTTGCATCTAATTTAAATTTAAATTTTCTTATTTTTATTTATGTAGGGGATAATATCGTCACTAGCCTGAGGGGGGATAAAAAAGGGTAAGCCAACGATCTCAACTGCAGTAACAATAAATCATAGGTGGTGCTAATAATTTGCAGAGATTGATAAAATTGTAGAAAATTATAAAATTATAGGTACTTGAGAAGTTCCAATTGCTTAGATAGTTCTTGTTTCTCGGCTTTCATATTTTCCATTATCAGATCATCGGTGCTATAATATCCGAATTAGGTTATAAATAAAGGGTGTCATATATTATACTTTGAATAAAAAAATTTATTGATAAAATCAAAATTTTAGGCGTTGTTCAAGCGCAATAAACTATAGCGAAGTTAATTTCTACGATTAAAAATCGTATCATTTATTAATTCAAAAAAATCTGGTAAAATTTGATTTAAAAAAAAGTATCTAATAAATGCTCACATCTGCGATTGGTTTTGCTGATTATTTGATAGCCTTTGATGCAATTTTTTGAGGTCTTTGTTCAGTGCTTCTTGGTTGTTTCGACTCTCTTCCAACTGCTTTAATACGCTACTTTTCTCCTTTATATAACAATAGCATATTTTAAATCCTGGAAAAAACCCCCCAGCGGAAAATAAACTCCCAGGTAAAAACCTCCTGAATAAAACACCCAGGAAAAAAACCCCGGAAAATCCCCGGAATTTATTTTCATATTCATTAAATTTCTTAAGACCTAATAATATAGGTAAATTTTTATTTGGATTATAATGGATATACTCATATTTATAAGGTATAGACAAATTAGTATTTTAGAAAAAAATATTATAAAAATATAATATATTAATAAACTTAATTTTTTAGGCCCTTATTTGTTATTTAAAGATTACTCATATACCCTCCATAAAAAATGCTTAAACAAGATAAAATGCTGTTCAAATTGGTACTAGGAAAAAAATACCCCAAAATAACCCATGTATTTCTTATTTTCGTAAAAATTATTGGCTATTACAATATCCATCCTTAATTACGATATTAAGTAAACTAAATTTGATAAAATTTTGTAATAAAATATATTTATTTTATTGGTAAATCATGATTATGTATATCAAATTTAAAAATTTAGAATTATAATTATATGGGTTGACATCGAATATTGAAGGAAATCGCTCTTATAAAATCTGGAAGAGTTTCTTTAACCGAATCTGGGTATTGATTTTGTTTTCGGTGTCCAACTATCTACACGCCATCGTTCAAGTTTGGTTTCATCGGTAGTCACCTCGAATTTCATTTTTTTTATCAATACCCAGATTGATGGGTGTTTATTCCCAACCAAACGATGATTCCAACCTTCGCATAGATTATTTGTGCGTTCTTCGTCGGATAGAGTGTTCTGATTCACGTTCCAAGTTTATGGAGGAAATCGAGGCTCAATTCGACGTGTTTGGAATTGAGAATTCTGACCTTTGATACTCCATTAATATAATTTTTTATTATTTATCAATATAATATATTGCAATAGGCACTGGCTTATAAATTTTTTTATTAAATTATTGCTAGGTTATACTAAAATATAAGAGTGTATAAAAACAATCCTCCACTTATAAGGAATATAAATTCAAATTTGTAAAAAAATAAAATTCCAAATAAAAATTAGGAAAAAAGTAAAAATCATAACAACATTTACTTTACTTTATCCAACCTTCATATATTATTATGATAAAGCATCCCTAATAATTCCCCACCACTCTCCGATTTTTGATTTGAAGAAGATCTCATAGAAGAAATCCGATGTTATATGTGAAAATTTCATAAATGTTTTTATAAGCGTCAAATTTGATAAAAAGATTACTATTTTAATTTGAAATTTTTAAGATTTTATTTCCGGGGGTTTTCCATGAGGTTTTTTCCAAGGTATTTTTTCATGGGGTTTTTTTCCAGGGTTTTTTTTCCTTATTACCCATATTTTTAATTAATCACGTCTATACTATTAAAATATTATCGCTTAGTAAGGTCTAAAATCTGTTTTGGACATTTGACATAAGGTAAAGAGTATCTATTTTTGACATAAGGTAATAAGTATTTATTTTTTATCATATATATATAAAGAATTTGAGTGAGGTTGATAAGATTGAAACATTTAAATATAGTATTGTATGTAAGATTGATATTTATACATCTTGTAATTTCCGATTTATCCTGGTTCTTTCGGAGTCTATCATTTCCATGCAGGTAATCTTTTCTTCCAGCTATTCGTATAATAATTTTTAATATTATTGATTTATAAATATAAATTTTAACAATTCACCAAATTTTACCAGTATATGGTGAAACATGGCCCAACGAAAGCGTGAAGCCAATTAGATAACGAATGAATATCTCTGATAAGATAGACAGGGAGAAAGAGAAAAGATTGAGATAAAAGTGATGTTGTAAAAGTCAACCCCCTCCCCCCTATAGTTTTGAACAGGGTGGTGCATTGACAGGCCAAATACGATTCGGTCAATCAAATATGGTTAAATTATAATAAATGTTTTTTATGTCAGTATTAACTTTGTTATGTATATATAATATTATAATGAATCTATGTAATATTAAATTTCATAATATTTTTTCAATTCGTTCCATAGTTAATATGTCGCCCTCTGTGGTAGAGCCCTGTTCTGATTCATATTCAATATCATTATTTTCTTTAATATTTTTAATCAATCTTAAGTTATGATATACTCTTACCAATTTTCCTGTTGTAGAAATTTCTCGATTTCTGTTTTTCGTATGAATATTGTCCCAAACCGATCAATTTCTTTCTGAAGAAGAAGTCGAAAGGAAATGTTAGTAGAGTATTAGTCACTTCTCTTAATGGAAAAGGTGGACAAAGCGCATTTCACCAACTTGAGGCCAAAATCTGATTGTTTCTTATGGAAGTTACCACTTTCAACATATTTTGGCTATTTAATATGCTTTACATTCAAAATTTATTGTATCACTTAAAATATATTAATTATCACCTCCTTGTAAAATACCTAATTCTTGTATTATATCACATACTTAAAATAATGCTCCCCATAATATTTGGGACCAATAAATTAGCAGCATTGTAAGTACATGTGTTTAGATCATTTTTCTCTTTTCAAACAAAACTTTAATTTTTTTTTTCTTCAGATGAAGAAAATATAGAATCATGGCATGATTGTATTATGTGTTTTTCCAAATTAAGCCTCTCGTTTTTACGTGAGCCAAAGTACATTTATTCCCTAGCACTTTCAACAATTAGATAGCCAAAGGTTGCAGTTTACCAAAATTTAAAATTTTTAGTCAAAAATATTTCTTCATTTAAGATATTATTGATAATTTCTATTTGACAAATATCACATTTCTTCAACAAATAATGCTATTTGCTCCATACATTTTATTGAAGATGCCCATCTTGTTGGCTAATTGTATTTAATGTAGATGGTATACTATGTTGATTCTTATTATGGGAAAATACTGCAGCTGGTATGTGTTTATTCTTGAAAAATTTAACAATATTTTAATTGTTGATATATGATAACTGAAGGCGTTTAATCTTTAAAATCGTGGAAGAATAGCTGCAATGTATGTGCGGACCATAACATTGTATATGATTATAAATAAATTCAGATTTTAGATTTCCAGGTTGCTTTTATGTTAATGGCATTATCGATAACGAAAGAATATCGTATTCAATATATGAATTACATTTTTAAATATCTGGCAATATAATCTGCCGTATGGCGATTTTCTTCAGTATTTAAAAAATTATGGAATACTGGAACAGGCGTCATCACCATAAAATTAATAATACTCTCGTTTCTGATATTGCTCCAGCCATCTGACACAATTGATAAGTGAGGAGTTTTATCTATTATATCTGCAACTCTCGCCTCCATATCCCCTGACGCTTTGTTCTAATAGATATCCAGCCAACTGTCTTCGCCTGGGTAAAGTGTAAATAGGACGTATTTTCTTATCTTGGATATAAGGATTTTTAGTGATGTGGAAAGGTAAATTGCTAGCATATGCAGCCTTTGCAAACAATTCATCAATCTCATTTTTTTCTTTGGGATTCAATCTATCTATGAAACCTGTTATACAAGGGATTTACATTTAATCGCCCTGCTTGTAGATGATCAGAGATAATGGAATCAAATTCTCCTGACTCACAAGGCAAAATATTGTCAATTTGATAATTATTCTTACTAATTTCACTAAATTCTTCATCAGAGCTAAAAGTATTACAAATTACATTTGTGACTTTGTCGAGGTTGATATTTTGGAATTTGAATAAAAAAATTTCCTAATTATGAAAGAGCACATAGTACAGCCGATTAAATTAATGCTTGACCATGGGTAATATAGGACATATTGCAAATCTTGCATACCGCTTTAACTGACTTATCATCACGTGCTTCTTGAAAATGTTTCTAAACTTGATGCTTTGGTTTGACCATTACTTATTTTATCATTATCGACCAATTGTTTCATATTGGCTTAATATTAAATATAATATAATACACAATATATAATACACAATATATAATATATAGTATATAATACACAATATATAATATATAGTATATAATACACAATATATAATATATAAATTTTTACCAGAATTGAATAAATTATTTTATAAATCTGACCAGAACAACTAAAAAGAAAATTAATTTACGTGATACGTGATATAATAGCGCTTTTGCCCTCTAGCGTTGATGGTTCAACAGAGCTACGCTAGGTTTTCCTCATTTCCATCTAATTGGAACTAATTTAATTTGGATATAAAAGTAAAAATATGAGTAGCCCTCCACAGGTTTGTGGGCAAGCCGCACGTACTTGTAGACGCAACATTTCGAAAAATGTTACTTAAACCTCTATAGGCTTATTAAAAAAGGAGTGGGGCAGAAAAAGAGCCTATACCCGAGAACTACAGTATAATTTAATTACTGTAAGGGTGGGTGGTGGCTGATTTTAAGTTTATATATAAATTCAAATGTAGCAAGTGGAAGTAAAAAAAATGAGAATTAATATAATTTATACTCGGCTAAAAATTAAATAAATAAATTTATTAAAAAATAAACCATGACTTAGCTAAATTATTATATCAATTTATTTTAGTTTACTATAAAAAAAATTCTTTTGTTTTTATATTATAAAATGAAAGTTTAATATTTTAATATGAAATTCTTAAATTTTAATATAAAATTATAATTAAAACGATTCCTTCATGATACAAATATATTTTTAAATAAATTGTAACATAATAAGATTGATAAACATGATTTTAATTAATTATATTAAAATATTTATTCGCAAATAATATTTTAGAGTATTGGGACCGTCATGCCAACCCTGATTTGAATGTATAGCAGCAAATTACTTCTACTCCATCCTCCTACCTACCCATTTATATATATTTTTTTAGACATGTAGGGGAGACTGGGGTTAGCTAAACCCCGGGGCTTGGCAAACCACTTAATCTTATTTTAAAATCAAATACACCAGGAGGTTAAAATTTATCGTAATATAGTTTTTATTACTTTACCTATATAGTCAAAGTATCTTTTGAAATAATTATTTATTAAAAGTGTTAAGAAATAAAATTTTTATGAATTTTTCAAAAGGTTTTAACATAACAGAATTTTAATTTTTATTAAAATATATAAACATTTATATGTAAATTAAATTTTATAGCAAAGTTTAAACATTCTTCTATAATGGGAAAGTTTTATGAGTATTTATTATATCTAAATATTATTTCAATCATGATTTGTCAATTTAGAGCTAGCGGGGCTTTCTAAACTATACACGTCGATGGCAGTTAATTATGAAAAAAAATTTTAAATCTTGAAAAGGCAATTTCATGGCTGTTTATGATTGGTATTTAGGATTTATGCTAAGAAATCATAATCTCTCCTTAAGATCCTTATTTTTTTATGTCCAAAATGTTTAATAAATTGCAAAATTAAGTTTCAATTTTTATATATAATTAGCTTCAATTTATAAGTATTATGATATTTTGAGCAATGAAATAATAAAATTTTTCTATGCGTATCATTATTAATAAATAAAAATGCATTTCAATTTATTATGGCCTAAAAAAATCAATGGTTAAGGAAGCCCCTTGAAGTGGTTTGCCCATCCCTCAATTGGGGCTTGTTGGACAAAATTTTACTTTTACGAAAAATAGAATTTAAAAAAATGATTATATTCTTAAAATATTTTATAAGGCACCTTAATAGAGTATAGTTTTAGGTATCTTATCATATATTATTTTTTCTAAAAAACCAGGAGCTATAGCCAATTTTGTAAAAATTTGTTTGGCTAACCCCAGTCTCCGCTACATGCTTGAAACTGAAAAAAAGAATGTCAAATAAAAAAATAGATAAAGGTCGTAAAGCACAAAAAAAGAGTTTTACTAATAACGATGCGTACGCTAGGAAAGTGGATAATTGACTATACAAAAGAAGAATGTTTAAAAATTTTTTTTTAATAGCCATATAATGTTTACCTTTACCCATTCAAATTACATGTTTTTTCCCCTTTTATCAATTTCTTTAAAAAATAAACAGTTGCAATTACCTCTAGCGACTTTTGAAGAAGAGCATCAATTTCTTCTTGCTTAAATTTGATCATTTTTTGAAGTTCGCCGTTACTATTAGACTCCTTTTTCTCAAACTTTTTTTTTAAAAAAAAAATTTAATTTATAAAATTCTATTATTTTTAAAAAAGCAATCAAAATACTTAATCGTAATATTAGGTCGTTATATATGACTAATAATAAAGGGGCCAGAGTAGTGTTATGAAAAATTACGATTTCACCATTTTGAAAAACGGCTAAATAAGATTTTTGCAAAATAATTATTACCTAGGCCTCGAAATTTGGTCAGAAGAAGGCCAAACCTATTTGCCATCTTTTGACTAAAATTTTGATTTAGCCTAAATTAAGGTTTTTAACAAAACTAGGTAGTTGTAAATTTCTGATTTTGCTAATTGACTATTTTATCTATTTAAATTAATTAGGATTATTCAAATAAATATTTCGTATCAAATATTATTCATTATTCGATTCGTTCATACGAATATTAATTTGAACGAATAATATTCCAATATTTTTTTAAATCTCATTGCAAAAAAAAATTATGATTGCTATAATGCTAAGTTTTGAACCATTACTAGAATGAACATAATATATTCGAACAAAAATATTTAATTATTCTAAAAATAATGGCAAAAATATTTTACACGCATAAAGATAGGTGTGAAAATTTACACCCAAGTAATAATATTACGGGCGGACAGGCTGGTTAAAATATTTTTAAAAGTGTTTTAAATATTTCACGGGCATTTTTATTAAAAATTCGCTCTTTATTCCATACTAATGCTCATATAAATAAGTTAAAAAATATATTAAAATAATTATAGATGTAAGCCAAATCCCAAAAAATTTTCAAAAATCAGATTGGAAAATGATACCGCATTTTGAATTAAATGGGTGGGAGGGACAAGATTCCCCCCAAAACCATGGGCGAGAAAGTGGGTTATAAATTTTAATACAAGAAAATACAACAATAATGATTATAATAAATATAGTAATTTAGCTGATATCCACAAAAATATATGGCTTTATAAAATTTCATATAAAAATATTAAATTTTAGTATTCCAATACATTTTATTTTACTGTTCGAATAATATTTGTGAATGTTAAAATAAAACTATTTGAATACGAATAATAAGGATTGAATTAATTCAAATTATTTATTAAAAATTCGGTTTTTATTCGAATATCGAATATTTATTAGGAACACTAGACAAGAGTTAAAGAGGTGCATCGCCTATACTATTATAAATAATCATCATTTTTTTAATCTATTTGTGAGTGGTTTTGATAGAAAGCCAAAGTATCAAGGCGCTTTTATGATTTTACTTCTTCGAGAAGTTTCATCCTTTCAAGATGGACTTGTCGTTCTGTGTCTTCGTATATTTGCCACAATTGCTTATCGAAATTTTCGATTTTCCTGAAATAATCATATTAAATGATTTAATTTAGCTTCTTATAATTTAATTATTACTATCGATATTAAAAAATAAATCTTTAAAAATATTAGAACATTTTAAAAAACTAAATAAAATTTTCGTCACTAGTAGTCCTTAGCGATGGGGTTAAAAAAAATTCTAACATGGTGGGTGAGTTGAAATATTTGTATAGAACAAAGGGTAGAAATATTGTTTATTTTTCTTGATGTAAAATGAGCAGAAGAAATAGATTAAAATGAAATATATAAAAAGTGAAAATCAACCAAAATCAAATAATTTTTAGCATTGGGGAGAGGGCAAATTTTTAAATAGCAGGTGAAATTTCGTCGATGGACATTGTTTAGCAATGCCGAACGCCTTCTAAAATAAATGCAATCAATGAACCCTGTATAAACTCCTTTTTTTGTATTATAAAGAAAGCACGTAATTTTACAAAAAAAAAATCTAAAAAAATGAGCTTAAACAAGGAACATATAAAAAAAATAAGTTAATTTATTTTATTTTATGTTGGATTATAAAAAAAATTTAATTTTTATATTAGTATACTATTATCATTTCATAATAATAATGATAGTAGCTTATCTATAAAACATCAAACTATCATCTACTTTTTTTTATAAAAACTAAAGCCGACAGGAAATATAACAAGGGTTGGGGAAATAAAATTGGATATTAAATGACTTAAGAAATGACATTATTTATTTGAAAAAAAATAAGAAAGATTTATTTTGCTTCATATATTTTTCCTGCCTAAAAGGTTAAATCCTACACAATGTTAATATAATAGGAACTAGAACTATAATATTCTAAAAAAAAATACATTTCCCATTTTCTATCAAAGTTTTGAACGGAAACCAGACCCTTGGAATGGGGTCAATTCTTAGAATCGGAAAACAGAACAACAATTTTAGGAACCGAGAAACACAACAACATTTTTAAGAACCGGGAAACAGAACAACATTTTTAGGAACCGGAAATAGGACTCGCCTTAAATTTATAATTTTCATCTTATTTTTAGAAAACGTTCCGAAACTGTTCCGGGAACGTTCTCCGAATCGTCCTTTCCTATTCCGATAGCTTTTTATAATAGTATAGATTTTATAGAATAATTTTAAAAAAATTTAATTTACTCTTCCATAACCCTCTCAAGATATTTTTTTTCACTCATTTTCTTGGCCAAAATATCCATGAACTGAATGAAAAAGAAATTTATCCTCTCGGAAATGTCGGGCATTTCTTCGCTCATACGTTCCATCAGCTGCTCAAATTCGCTAACGCTAATTTGTTTTATTTATATATTTTAAAAAATATGATTTGATCGCCCTTTCTTACACATTAGAAAGAGTCGTAAAAACTGTAAATTTTTGAAACTGGACAAATAATTTAAAAAAATATAATTTAATCTTATTAAATAATATGATATTTTAATATAACATATCTAAAACAAATTTTCGAATTTATAAAATATTCGATTCGAAAATAGGGATAATATTAATATATTCTAAAATATTTGTATAAAATTGTTTTATAATGTTCATAAAAGATGAGAAATTTGATTTAAAAATTATTCATAAAAATTTTAGATTATTTCTATTTAAATATTCCTAGTGGAAGAAGAAAAAATTTTACCAAAATTTAATAATCTGTTTTTTATTCAATTTTCTAATGGGGAAATAAAATTTTCTAATTGATGATTTCATTATTAATGCGACTATGCATACAATTACTTGATTTTAATTTTTGAATTGAATGAATACGAATATTCAATCAATTTATTTGATTCCTATTTTTTAGGGATACTTTGTAATAACTTTAAAAAAATATTCGTTATTAATGATTAGGTAATAAATATGATTGATTCAAGAAATATAGAACATTATAAAGTTTTAAATTCGAATTTATGATGTTTCTTTAGATTGAGATTTCTAAAAAAAAATATCTTAAAAAATTTATAAAACTTAATATCATGTCTCTGACTGTTTTTGAAAAAAATCACTTTGAGTTTGAAAAATGATATTATGTGAGGAAAACGAGTTCTTGCTATACACAATGGCTGAATTTTTTAAAAAAAACACATATACATTGGATATTATACTTTATATTCTGTAGCAGGGTATCCCGGAGCTCGCTCGTGAGAGATTGTTGGGAATCGAATGAGCTCATATGAGGTGCTGCGAGACTTAGATTATTGGAATGTTGAGCCATGTGATGACCATGTTCTTCTTCCGATGGCGACAAAATATTCGAGAAAGAGGAACACAGGTCGTAATCCTGGCCGTCGATATAACTAAGGGACAAATTTTCGTGGGCGTCTCTTTCGACGAGGGAAGAATAATCAAAGGACAGCTCCAAGAGGGAAGAAGCTCGCGGGGTGTATACATCGTTGCTAAGAGCGGAATTTGTAGTATCAATTTTTTGGCCATTACCGCTAACTATTTTCTCAGCAGTGGTAATGGGAGCAGGAATAAACTTTTTACGCGATTGGTGAGGATCGTCAATATTCATGTAATTTAATTTACAGGGTATGACTATAACGTTCTCCATTCCATTTTGGGTTGCTTTATTAGTGGGGCTTACTGGAATATCCGAAACTTTAGAAGAAACAAGACTCGAAGGTAGAGGGTTGTAAAGAGTTTTTCGGTGTAACTTGCTGATACCCGATTCTCTCATTCCATCGATATTGTATACGTTAATATTAGAGTAAGTTTTATCTTTGAAGGATGCTTTGCGAGAATCATTGATGGATGATCTAAGCATCATTCATTGGATTTATGATAAGAGACGCATACATAGCTTTTAGGGAGAAAAAAAATTATATTTACTAAACACGATATTTATATATGTGGTAAGTTAATTTTGAATAAAGATTAACCACTCATTCACAGTTAGATCGAAATTCGCAGTGAAGTATACAAAATATCTTCACCGCGAATACTGTGATTGAGGGATAAATACGGAATCCTCTCATGGGGATTGGTAATCTCTCGATTTTAACCATTAACTGTGGGGCGATTTTTTAATTTTGAAACATCTAATTTTTCAGGAAAATAATTCATCATATTGAGTATGCCTACCCTGCAAATATCGGAAACTTTGACCTGAATTTATGAACTAATCATAATTTATATTTAAGAATTTTACATATGAATTTTTAAAAAATGCTGAAAAATGGCACTCTTAAACTAATAGTAGTATTCCATGTATGCTAGAATTTTTTTCCAGAAAATCTGATTTCTGCGAATTAAAAATGGCCCTCAGGTTTAAGATATTTTGAGGGGTTGGGGGGGGGGGTCTTTATATATGCCTAATAAGAAAAAGTCAAATACCATTCATTAATTTTTATAGTTATAAGTTTTCTTAAATTACCTTTAGAAGACTTTTTCGCTTCTTTTATGAGATTATTTATAATTTCTTTTTTTTTGTTACAATTTATAAGAAAATATAACATAACACGAAGAATCATTTTATTATTATCTAATTAATGTAAACTTTAAGCCGAATTATATTACCCCAAGTTAATTATATTCTATCTTGTATACATGTAAAAAAATTGTATAATAACTTAAAGAATTACATTTGTTTTCATCTCTATTTTTCCCACATACTCACTTAAAAACTTATTCAAATAATAATAAATTTTAATAACCTTTATAATCCTCTCTAAGGAAAGGATGAACCCGATCTTTCTCTCCAGAATCTGATAATACAGATAAAATTTTATTTTTTCGGGAATGAAATTTTAAAACACTTAAAATTATTTCATTATTATATATGACTATATATATTTATAATTCCTGATTTAAGCATTTTATAAAATGAAACAATTCTTGCATTCAAAATATTTTTGATAATAAGTAGGAAGCTACAAGATCCTTATAATAAATAATTACTTAATTTTTATTCCACTTTAATCTAATCGCCACTAAAAAAGAGAAATATCACCTGCCTATACATGAAAATGTGAAGTGGTATATTGAAAAGATAACGATGGTGGTTAAGATAATAAATGTATATTATAAAAAAACAAATATTCGTTGTTCAAATCGGATTCGAATATTATTAGTTTGATTAAATAATATTCGAATACGAATAACTTATTTATTATATTGCATATCACTGGCGTATCCAGGATTTTGCTATGGGGTGGGGGGGGGCACTATTATGTGAATTTTTTCCCCGTAAATGTTGGAGATTTAGGACCACTTATTATAGGTCTTTGGCTATATTAGTTTATAAAAAAATAATTTTGAGTATTCACTTTTTTAAAAAATGCTTTTTTTCTAAAATTTTTGAATTATAGACGTTATTTAAAAAAATTATTAATTTTTCTTTCAAATTCTTACATATAATGATATACTGTATGCATTTTTTGAGGAGAGGGGGGGTAGGGGAGAGGGGGTGTGAAGAGTGGAAATTTCTGTTAGCTTAAAATGATATTTATGAAAACAGGGAAATTTGCGATGGGAGGGGGAGGGGAAATACTCCCTTTCCACCCCCCCCCCCACTCCCTACTAATAGGTTTTACGCGTCTGATGTATGTCTGAAGGGGAAAAAAAATTAAATTTATACTTTCTAAATTTTAATAAATATTAATTGATTTGGGGTTAGTAAATTAAAAAGTTTTAGAAAGGATTATATCTCTTCTAAGAAATATTTTTTTGAATTATATTTCATTCTTCTGATTAGCGTCTTTCTGGAACAAAAAGAAAAAAATCGCAAATCACAAGAAAAGAATGGCAACTTATTTTATATACCACTTAATAGTCATTGATTTTAATGTAAAACGCTCTAACCCTATATTTTATATTGCATGCAACATGAAATTTAAAATTGATTGTCCAGACTTCAATTGCAAATGCCTAAGTAAACTGCAAAATCTGCAGGGTCATTGAAATTTTAAAACATGAGAAAGTTTTAAAAATTTTCGAATTTAAAAAAAAATGAATATGGAAATCGCCTAATGAGAGAATAATACAATAAAATTCGCGAGAAAAATGGAACAGAGAAAAATGGAACAGACACAAATCACGGTTCCGGGTGTTTAAACCCTATAGTTTATAAAAATAATATCATTAATTTTTTTTTTTTAAAGTTATTGATTAACCCTTTTTTAAACACCATTTTGCTATCTGGTTAAAGATATTTAAATTGAATAGCCTTAGTCTTTATAATGATAGTGCATGATAAAATTTAGAAAAATAAAATAAATTTTTTTTTTTTTATAATACACTCCTCCATTTTATTCTTGTGGTACCTTATCTATCTATAATTATTCATGTTATAATGAAATCAGCCTTTACCTAAAAAAAAATATTTATTGTATCTCTAATATTTTATATCTATAATATAAAAATATAATATGCAAATGTACAATGGAGTTAATGAGTTAAACCAAAATATAAAATAAAAATTCATGACTTAAAATTAACAATATATAAATTTAAGTAAATTTAATGGTGTATATGTGTGTAGTAAAGTAAGTATATTATATAAAAATTTAATGTAATAAAAATAAGTTTATTATATACATTACACTTTATACCTATGCATTTTACTATATTATACAACATATAAATATATAAAATTGCTAATTTAATAAATAATTAAAGGTTAATTGAATTTTGCAAAAATAAAGATATAGGTGTTATACCCAGGCTTTCTGACAATATATATATATTTATTTATTTGAATATAATTTTATAATTCTACCAAAAGAAGGAAAACAATATACTTATAAATAATAATAAAAAATTTTAATTTGGGGAAAGCTTTTTAAATTTCATTATTAATTCTACTTAAAGGAATGTGGAGTTCAAGTTTATTTTGAGCAGTATAAAAAAGGAAGTGTATTTAAAAAAAGGTTTAAAAAAATAGAAATTATATATACGGGTTTATTACAATGATGTTATCTTATCACTACCATTGGTAAAGAGGTAGAAGGAGCCTGGCTTTCCTAAATACCTTTATGACCCCACCCTCTAGAGCTAGCTAAGAGAGAAGAAAGAAATATTTGAAGAAATTAAATATCTTCTGGGAGGAGATGCATTACTATATCATAATTATAGGAAAAATAATGATGTCAGGTTACCTGATGTTCATTAAAATCATATCGAAGGGTGCGTTCGTTTTTAGAAAGAAATATTTAAATTAATTAGCTATACAATACCAAATAAATCATTTTGAATAAAATGATAAAGTATCAATAAACCTCTATAACCGCCATTAACATAGTCGTAGTCATGATCTTGCAAAAATGGTGTGGGTTTTCTCACATAAATTTTTTGAAAGGCTTTAGGCCCGTATTCCATTTTTTCATTGGCTTACATTTTTTTTTAAAAATTCATGGTTATGCAACTTTTTAAAAAAATTTTCAATTATACCATTATTTTATAGAAATTATTAATTTAACTTGTTTTTGTTTAAAAAATTATCGTTTATGATATTGCATTTATTTTTCGGAAAGAAAGTGGTAAAGGCGTGTTAGGTAGGGACATTATTTTCATTACCATAAAATGATATTTCTGAAAACTTGCAAATTGCCTAAGGGAAAGCTCCGTCTCATGGGTACACCTAAGTGACAAAATAACATGAATAAAGAACAATAAATTAATAGATCCTTCATAAGGTATGTTATTTTAAAATCTTTTACATAGTTTTATATTATGGGCAGAAAAAGCTGAAACTTTGTCTAAGGCTGGTCTAGATCCTATTTTTCCAATAAAACGATTTTTTTTTATTGTATACTACCAACGTTTTTGCTTATTATTTTCTCATCTTTTTTTTAAATTTAAATTTTAGAATAATGATGAAAAGATTTTGAACTAAATATTATGTGTTCCAATTGTAATTGGTGTGAGTCTATTATGGCTAGATGGGTGGCGCATACCAACCTCCAAAAAAATGTCTTTGGCCTTCTCCATCTTTAAAAACAGGGTATTTAGATTAAATTTATCATTTCAAAAAATGGTTATGATGATGATGATGATAATATTATATATTTTATTTTCTATATCAATATGAGACAATTTTAATTATTCATTTTTATATTAAAGATAATATAAAAATTTTAAAAATATAAAATTTTTTAAATAATCACATAGAGGATGATGTTTTTGTTCGTGGCAGTTAAAGATTACTTTTAATCAAATAAATTTAATATAAATATGTAGTCCAAACATTAGGGGCGTAGTTAGGAATTTTCTACGGAGGAGTGGGGGGAATTTTTTTTTTGATTTTTTTTGAAGCATTAAATTTATTAGAACTAATCATCATATAAAATTTATTTGAATAAACATATTTAAAAATATGATAATTTCGAACACAAATAATAAAATATTGGAAATACAAAATATTAAGAGCGAATATAATACGGTTAAAAAAAATACAGTTATATAAACCGGTATGTCACAATAAAATAAAAAATTAAGCATTTTATGATGATTTAAAAAGTTGGTCAAAATATCATTCATAAATGAAAATTTAATCTTATTTGCGATTGCGCCAATTTTTTAATAATTGGTTGTGTTGGGATTTAGATCTCGATGAATAAAGCTAGTCTATTCAATCAATTTTAAGTTTCATACTTTTGATATAGGTTTTTATTCTTTGAAATGAAGAAATGGTTCTCTCATTTGTGCTTGTACTAATTGGTATTATAATATATAGTAATTTTAATATATTTGATAAATTTATGAAATAAATTTTAAAGTCTGGAGAATTATCTACAAAAATGATCTTTCATACCATTTAAACTCTGAAATTAATTGGCCTTCAGATACATTTATATCATCTGAATAAAATTTAGCTATATATTTAATTTTGCAATAGCAAGATTTGTATATCCTCAGATCAAAGGGAGTTATGAGGTATAGTATTTGTAAATTGGATGGAGCCATTGGTAAATCATTCATTGATTCGAGTCAAAATTAAATCCAAAAGTTGAATAAAAATGGTTATTTTTAAATTATCCTCAATGGACTTCACGTTAATATTGGAATGATTTGTTTGTCGGTATAGCCGAGGCTTGTGTATCTCAAAATCATATAATTCACTATCAACTCAACAATCACATAAATCTCGAGAAATTCCTGGTCGATATTATCTCTAGGTCTTCTAAGTTGTAATATAATAATATTCACGCTTCTCATAACTTCAGAAAAACCATTTTATGAAAAATATTGAATATAATTGTTATGTAATAAATAATTTTTAATACATTCCAATGAAAAAAATTAGCAGTCATATTAAATCTAATAATGGATCAGTGTCAGGTGTAATATGTGTTTTAGATGATTCTGTTATTTCTCCGAGGACAAATAAAATGGCTCTTCTAGATTCAAAAAATGATGTAACAGCTTGATGTCGAAGGCTCCATCTTGTCTCACAGGCTTCTGCAGTTTCATTTTTCCTGTAGTCCAGGAAGAGAAATAATATATTCCGTTAATTCTGTCTAATTGGATATCTGAACATTTAAATTTTCTAATCATAGTTATTAGTTGGCCTATATTAAATTTAATTTTTTTGGTTGATATAATTTTCTTATATTCATCAGTGTTTAAGGTTTATAAAATTTTAGTAAACTTTAAATTTTATTGAGATAAAATATTAATATACAAGAAATAAATATCTAAATTAATTTTAACTTTTTGCTAATATTTAAAATAGAATATAACCTATTTGAAGTAGAATCCTTAAAAATTAGAAGGGCTAAGTGGCCAGTCAACCCCCCATAACTACTTATCTATGATTTTATATTGAGCTAATTTATCCTAAAAAATATTTTTTTATTTCATCAATTATTATTTGGAAAAATGAGATTAAAAAAAAGTTAAAATTTGACAAAAAAATAATCCTTCAGAAGTTTTTTTTTCGAAAACAGGCTAGATGAGTTCTCGCTGTGTTAGAATATAGCAGGGCCCTCACCTTGTTTTCAAAAATTTTACAAGTCTATGAAGGATTTTATTTTATAAAAATAGGTCGATTTGTTGGATGTTTGTACGAATTTGAAAGAAAAATTCATGAATGCAGTAGTTCTTAATTTCGCAAGAAAATAATAATTAAGAATTTGATTAGTGAAGATGTAGATATTGTTAAATAATCTATATAACAATTTATATGATTTAATTGTATTTAAATATAGAATTCAAAGAATATATATTTTATCCTAATTTAATAGTGGATTTAGATTATGGGCCCCGTTTAAGGAATATATTTCCTATATCTCGAAGTCGGTATGAAACTTGTTAAACTGCACAATTATTCCATTTTTTCCAAGAGAAACCCTATAAATTTCTCATAATTTTATAAGATATTTACAGATGACTAAGACAATAGGCGTATTGACATATTATGCTTGACTGAAACACTAGCATTTAATATATTCTTGAAAATGATTATATTTGTTTTTTTTAAACATTAACAACATTAGTATTAGAATTATAAGAATAAAAGATAAGGCTGGTATCATGGGCTTTTGTAGCGTAGCCAAGGGTAAAAATCGGGATTAATTCTAATCGTAAATATTCATTTCAAGCTAATAAAAATTATACCTATACACCCCTCCCCCTATCCTCCTCCGCAAATGAATACAATATCTCATTAAAATATATATAATTATTTTCGAAAATATAAAGTATGAGTTAATTACGTACGTGAAACGTGATATATAACGCTTTTGCCCTCAAGCGTTGAAAGTTCAACAGAGCTACGCTAGGTTTTCCTCATTTCCATCTAATTGGAACTAATTTAATTTGGGTGTAAAAGTAAAAATATGAGGAGCTCTCCACACGTTTGAGCAAGCCGCACGTACTTGTACGCATCCGAGAACTATTGTTAAAATGTCTATGAGCTAATAACAAAGAGTTGAGCAAAACAAAAGCCTATACCCGAGAATTACAATATAATTTGATTATTTTAAGTGGGTGGTGACTGATTTTAAGTTTAAATTCTTTAGTGTAAGTTTTAATGTGATTACTATCGTTATTGAGATTTAATGTCCATACCATGCAATTAATTTTACTTTTAATTTATTCTGAGAGCCTAGAAATAACATTTTTATAAAATAACATATTAGTACAAAAACAGTACAATCACTTATCAATAATACTATACTTTATATCCAACATTGAAGATAAACCTCCATCCTACCGGAAAAATCGAACCCCATAATTATTTTCGGCTTAGGAAGTAAAATCTATAAAATGTGAGCTAAGAGAATATTCTAAGTGAATGATTGAGCATTTCAGAATGAGTTAATTATTTTTTAAAATAATGACAATAATTTTTTTTTAAATTCGGTAAAAGGGCTATTTATAGAAGAAAAAAAAGTAAAATAAATTTAAGCTACCCTAATAAATGAAATGGAAACCAAAAGACGTCTATGGCTCATACCAAACCCTGTTTCATGCCATTTCCAGTCCCCCAACCTTTGGAAATATATATTTCCAATCCAATATCATTTAACCAACGATCATCTTTTGTTAATAAATAAAATTTGCTTACGATTTGATTTTTTTTTTTTAATTTAATTTACAAATTTATCAAATTCATTATTTTCCTTTCCTTTTTTTTTCCTTTCCTTTCCAATCCTTTCTTTTATTTTTAATAAAATATTTTAAAAAAATGAGTGTGATAAATTTTTAAAGATATATATTAGATAAAACATAAAATTGACAAATACAGTAAAATGGTAGTTACATTAATGATTTTAAGATAATGATTAGCAAAAAATAGAGTTCTTTAAAATAGATTTAAAAGAAAATCATTATATAATTTTCGTGCGATATGAGATATCATTTAAAAATATATTGAAAGGAAAAGTAAGTATTTTTATCTATGGAATACTGAATTATATATCAAAAAAGAAAGATAAAAAAAAAATTTTTGTTTGGTAAAAAAAAAATACATAAAACATTTTATCGCAAGTTAATAATTATAATATAGGTAGTATCATTTTATAGGTAATATTTTTTTTTGTCAATGTTAAAATTTGCTTTTCTTTAGGGACGCAAGATATAATATATATTTCAATATTTGTTATATTCCTAAATATAATGTGTGCTATAAAAGGAATTCCAAATAATATTGGTTTTGTTAAAAGCATGGTTTATGGTATGCTTAGTTTACTACTTTGTATACTTACATGGATGGATGAAATAAAACGAAGGTTGGTGTCGGTGTAATATTATACTATTGCGTTATGGATATTTTTAAAAAAATATTTACATGGTTATTAAAATGGACCTATATTTTATTATTATTCTTTCTTATATTATACTTCTATTATTATGTAA